CAGGGGTGTCCAACCTTTTTGTTCCTCTGGGCCACATTGGAAGAAGTCATGGAGTTTTGGGCCACAAGTATATATAATATATTTGTGACTCAATCCTTAAATATACAAGTATATTTAAGGATTAACAAGTCTAGATTATAGTAATAAGTATTAAAACTTTATCACGAAAAAGGATATTTTAAAAAATTACTTCTCCAGACACTTTCAATTTTTACTTAGAAATAGATAAATTCATTTATTATAAAGGAGACAAACAAAAATTTATTAGAAAAACACAAATATTCGTTTTATTTGGGTCTCTAATTAATAAAAAACGACGAAACACTATTTTAAAGTGCATTTTATTCGACTAATATATTTATAAATAATATGTAGCCCAGAAAGTAGCCAATGAGCCAAATGATAATTTTTACGCCAAACTAAAAAAAAAAAAAATGGTAGCCAAATTTGGCGCAAAGTAGTCAAAAATTGCAACGCTGGAAGGAATATTAAATAATGCTGGAGTTGGAACTCAAAGGAGTTGGAACTCAACCTTCCTCACTACTTTTGTAGTGAGGAAGGTTGGAAAATTAAAGGTCAATATTTACATAACAGAAGGTCTATTTAACCTTTCTCACTACTTTTTATCTTTTGGCCTTTCTCTCCTTTTCTCAAATTTGGGTCTATAATCCTTTGAGTCACAACTTCAGCTTTATTTAGTATTCCTTCGTCATCCACACATCTTCAAGTATTTGAAAATATTTCCTTTTCACTGAAAAATGAAATATGTATAAAAGTTTACGGCTTTGTGGAACTTCTTTTTTGAGTTTATGCCGTTGAAATAAAAACAAAACAATTTGTCGGTTTTGTTTACACGTTTATTGGGCCGCATTGGAACGTGCCTTGGGCCGCATGCGGCCTGCGGGCCGCGGGTTGGACATCCCTGATTTATTGTGAAATTTTGCCGCCCCCACTACGCTACGCCACTGATGAGGATATATGGCAAAGTCTTCGTTTTCTGTTTAGAAGATTAAAAACTTTTGACGAGTTTTCTAATATTATTGTAAATGCAAATGTTTTCTGTTTACTTTAAGATAATAGACTTCGACATTACAAACAAATGTATAAAAGCATATTTTTATATAAGTACTAAAATGTATAAACGGAATAAAAACAACAATGATCTCTGTTTACGTGTTTATATTTTTCGATTTTTATCATATTTCTCTTTACTTCATTTTCCTGTAATCATTATTAAAATTGAAACGAGTGAAATGTCCATTTCGAATACTTTTATATATTTTTTTCTAACTCATTAAAATATACTTATGATTTTATTAAGATTATCGTTATTGCAAAATAGGTTAACTTATTTACATTACAGTACTTTGTCAATAATCTATAAATTTGTTTACTATACTACTGACTTTTCGAGCCGGAATTTAAAAATTGAAAATCAATGAAATTGATCCTAGCAATTCTCCATGACATATCCGATAGAAGAGGCATATTTAAATATGTACTGATAGCGCTGCAATATAAGTTTACAGATTTTATAATCACAAATTAATACCGAACGTTATATCGAAAAAGTTCAAAATAATTTTTATTGCAGTTTTTTGGGAGAAAAATAAAATAAAAATTCAAAAATTATGTAATTTCGTATTATTTTGAGATAAATGAGGATTTGTTTAGCAAGCGAATTGCTAAATATACGTTAATTACATCCGTACTAATTACTGAGACTATCAATGTTTTTGTAACTTATACAAAAACATTGATAGTACTTTAGTAAGAAAGAACAAGATTAGCATCACACAATGAAAACATTAAACGAGTCATTGACCTAGAAGATATATTTAGCACTTTAGTACTCGGTTCATTTTATTCAAAGTTTGAATAATCTAGGTTTTTTATTATAAATATCAGCTATAAAAGTGCAATTAATAAAAATTTTCGGTTTTTATTATCATTTTATATAAACTATTTGCATCTTTCTAAACCTGTACAAAAAGCAACTATAAAACACATTTATTAAGTTTGCGTTAATTAACAAATTAAATCAATTCAAACCTATTGTATTTTAGTTAATAGATTATAATGTTTGTCTTAATAATCTTTGTTAATTTGGAGTGTACTGAATATACTAAGTGTTCAAAATTTGTAAACAATCCGAAATACAAAAAATTTCCAGTTTGATTTCGAAATAATATAAAGAATTATAATACTCGGCTAGATAAATTTACAGCAAGCTACGGTCATTTTGATTTCTAGACAGACCAACATTATCTGTTAGGAAGGAGGTTGAGAAAAATCCATAGATAGAAGATGTTCTAAAACCGGAAGTCAGATTCATGGTCTCATAGATAAAGCTTTTTTTCGCTTCACTTGTTTATTTTTTAATTGTTACCGTATTTAGACGAGATAAAGTATTTTATTTGCAATTAATTTGAATGGAATTAATTTTAATTTATATCAAATCAAAATATTTATGATAACACGGAGGCCGTTATGAGAATTAATATCCATAATCAATAAATACAGTTATTAATGTGGCATATATGATATATATTTTAAAGCCTAAAAATATGATCTTTTGTGGACCTTAAATTTTTATTTATTTTGTTATTCATGCTTTACTATATTGTCTCGAAATTTTTATAAAAAAATTATACGAAAAATTTCGGATAAACTTCGCACCTGTTTAATATTTACAATTGTATTTCATTTAATTTTTGAGACTGAATCAATAAATAATTTATTATCTATTGATTCATTGCATACTTTGCAATATGATTTAGCATAAAAAATTGATTAATTCATTGTCAAATAAGTTTAAAAATCATTTAAACGTTAAATATATTTCATAATGTTGTACGATGATACGCGAAAACTCGATTTGTTTAATTTATATAAAACTTTTAATTACAAAACACCCAATATCTCGAGTTGTCTGTCGGAAATTTAATTCATATTTAATATTAATAGACGAAATAATAAGTTAAGAAATGTAATGTAAATAACTATTTTAAGAATAATTAAAAAATATATATATATATATATATAATATTCATGGAATGGGTTATAAACTGGTAAATTTGGAAAAATACGAGGACCAATACGATTACGACATAGATAAAATTTAGAATTGATAGGACGAAGTAACGAAAGGAATTAATTGAATTGATTATAATGAAGCAAAGGTAGAATTGCACGATTTTCTTGTCACGAATTTAGTTGCAGACGATGAATGTCACGTTTTGAAGTTTGTTGCTGCGGTCGAAATGCCGCTTAATCGTTTCCGCCAATAGTAGATATTCTATCTGTCTGACCAACCGACGATTGGTCATAGCTTCACGTGATGTGACGTCCGTCGTAATTCCGCCATATTGGATTGAAATAGAAAGGCCGCAGTGGACAGAACGGTCGGTTGTTATAGCGAAGACCGATTGGATTCTTGTATATATTTTTTATTGTGGATTTAATAGTATAACGAAATAGCGCGTTGAATAAGAAGAGTGTGAGACATAAAAAGCCATAAAGGATCATTCTTCGGCAAAGAAACTACCTTGACATTGGCCATGCCTGTTCGTAAACAAGGTGGTAAGATCGTCCCTTTCCATTAAAAACGTCGTAGATTTGTTCGAAACTACGATCGCGTAGCTTACTCGAGCTCCCAATTTTCCGAATCGATTACGAATTGTTTAAAATCATTATTTAACGTAAAAAAAAGCAAATTGAGATCGGTATTAGTATAGAAATCGGATTGACTTCCGAGTCGCATTCTGCCGCATTTCGGGTTTATGTGTCACCGGGACATTCGGATGAGATTCTTAACACCGGTATCCATATCTAATAAATCATGTCAAAATTGACTTTTAACACTGATAAATATATATTTACCGTTTATATCAATTATATTTTTCAATAAATTTCGGTATGAAAGCATTTGCCGCTTTTCGCGTACCGATAGACGATGCACCCGGTAGTATTAATGTGCTTGATATATTTTTTTATTTTTATAAATATATTTAAATAAATTAGGGATACTGACTAAATATTAAATGTTTGAATTTCTTGCCCAAGTTTCCTCAATAGTAAATATATATTAAATCATATTTTTAGACTGAGATAAATGTATTATCTCAGTCTAGTGTTTTTAATTGAATACATGTGAAAATTATAAATTATAAAATATATTTAATAATATATAATAATGATAATTTGGCTAATTTTTTAGAATAATGTTTTTTACTAATTTTTATTTATGGTTATGTATTATATATTTGATTAGAGCTTTTTAATGGATTGAAATATTAAATGGAATTAATTTTGTCAGGTTCAGATGAATGTTTTTTGCTTGTAACTAAAAACTACTTTGTTTTGTAGATTGCCAAGCGATATGATTGACATTGACAGGAAGAAACATAAAAGAATCTAATATGTTGAACTATGGTACAGATATTCTGTTCGCTTATATTGTGCCATCTTTTATGAGCTATATCAAATTTGATACTGATTTAAAAAAAGAAATCATATTTTTAGTTTAAACATTTAATTAATAATTTTCCATAATTTATATAATAAATAAATTTATTTAAAAAAATAAATTTATTGCTGCATAATTAATAATTGTGATTGTTTTTATTCAATTGATTTATGTAAATTATTCAATAAAAATATTGGCATTAAAATTTAAGTCAAAGTACAAATAATTTCATTCTTATATTTTATATATTTTATTTGTGGTGGAATTACATATTAAAATTAATTAATGAATCAGATATAATCAAATATATATGTTTTTTGTGTAACATGAAAGGCAGTTCCTTAATATCTGATATTTGAGAAGTTATTAATTTGCAGTTTTCATTAACTACATTGAATGAACATTGTACAACCATTAATTGAAAAAATTAAAACAATTTTTTTCAGTTCAATTTAATTATGAATATAAATTTAATGCAGTACATATATAAAGTACAATATTAAATGAAAATTTAAATATTTTGAAATTTTATTAAAATACTTTTGAGTATTCTTTAAATGTGTTTTTTATATATATAAAATAACTTCCACTGTTTATACTTTTTAATTTCAGAAATAAAAAATTGGCATTTAAATTAGTAATCTAAACAATTTCTAATAATAAATCTTTAAATAATTATTAAAGAATTAATGTATGAACCAGTATGATCCAATCTAAAGTTCATGACTCAGGCAGATGTTTTAGCAGCTTTGATGAATTATATTTGAAGATGTAGTCTTACTAAATGGATTTTTAAAGAAGTTATTTCTGAAATTTTTCATAAATTTAAACAATATTTTTATAATTTTAATTCATTGTAATTGAAATTCTGGTTGATGAATCTGAAGTAAGCCAGACTTGAACATTAAAATGGAATTATGCAATATTCAAGTACACAGTCTGTTTTCTAAAAAAGATAAAGAAACTTTTTGGTAATTTTTTTTCTGAGAGAATGATTCTCAAAAGTTTCAAAATTCTCTCTAGAGATACTTTTATGGCCATTATATATATTTGTAATTTTTTTCTGATCTGCAATTAATTAAATCTAAACAGAAAAAATACTTCAAAACTTTATCTTCAGTTATGCATCAAATATTTATTATAAGTTTTCAAAATTAAGTTTAAAAACTAAAAAACTTTGTTTGTTTTTTAAAATCAATGTGAACCATTTCACTAATGAAAAAATAATAATATTTTTGTTTACTTGTTCCAAATATAACTAGAATAAAGATCAAGTTTTAGAATATGAACTGAAGTTAAATTTTATTTGATAATTTCATTTGATTAACTTGATTGATCCTTATGCCATAATAGATTAAAGTATGTTGATGTAAACTTACAAAATTAAGAGAATTCATAATTTTAAAAAAATTTAAACAAAATAAATATCTGTTACATGCTATGTAAAAATTAAATATTTTCATTTATACTTAAAATGATGAAAATATTCTAACTTAAATTTATTTTTTTGTTTAGAAGAGAATAAAACATAATAATAATAATATAGACTATTCATAATATATATAAAATAATATATTTTATACAAATATAATGATTGAGAAAGTTTATCATATAATTTGAAAAATTATATACATTCGAAAATTTCAGGAATTGACAGCTTTTATTATTATTGATATAAATATTTTACATGTATTCAGAAATATTTCTTTGTACTACTTATAAATTTTATACTGTATCTACTCACATTATCACTGTTTTTATCCATGACATAGATAACATAAAAACAACCCATTATTATTATACAACCCAACAACTCAAAATTACCCATGACATAAAAACAACAAATATTTAGAATTTCTTAATTTGAACTATTGATTTGTGTATATAAGCTGTACACATTCATTTGTTACATTATTCTAAACATTATCCTATTACTGGTAAACTTTGGCTGGTATTTTTAGTTATTTTTCTGTAAGATTCTTAAGGTAACTTTGCAACCACTATGCAAATCTTAAGATCAGACAAAAGGATAAAGCAATATATTATATACATAAACTAATTATAGGTTGTAATTATTTTTATGTTGGTTCTACATTCTGTAGTTCATATAAAAGAATTTTGTAACATTATAACTTCTAGTGTTCACTTGTATAATTTTTATCCTAATAGGTCTTTGGTTGTTACCATTATGCTTTAGAATAAACTTGCTATAATATTGGAGTTATGTAATTATTTCTCCTTAAATAATTAAAGCAATTGGATTTATATATTATTCTAAAGTGCTTATCAATGAACAAAATACATATACCATAGGTTCCACTTGAATTTTGAAGTCAGCTGATTACTTTTTTCTATTCTATCACTTATGTAATGTATTTTCTTAAATTTCCACTTACAGCTAAGATTTATTTTATATCTGTCAATTACAGCACCATCTTGATTAATCTGAACTACTTATTTTTTATTGTACTAAATGTTTCAGCCAAAATCAAAAAAAATTATTATAGGTTCTTTTTGAAAAACATGTCAAATTTATGAAATTAATATTTACCACATATTTTAATATAAATATAAGATATAAGTATCAAATCCAGCATAGAAAATTACCTAACTTCACTGCCTGTAACCGGCGTTCTTCTTCTCCAATACGAAGAACTTTGCAAACGTTTTCAAACCTAATGTGGTTCTTCTTCAGGTGCTACGGAATTTCCTATATGAATTCAAATTTCCAGTCTAGAATTAACCGTTATTTTGGAAAATCTTTCTGGAACGTTGTCACGTGTTACCGATGGCATCATTGTAGACTTGCTCATTATCTGTATGTTGTTACTTCAGAGATTTATTGAGGAAGGCTTCCCATGCTGTTGATATCTTCATTTCTTGTTTGAAGTTAATGCAGTGCTTATTCCTGAGGGTATTAAGGCAAATGTATAAGGCCTCTAGCCATCTGAGGTGTTGTGTGCTGAACGTGGTGTGAATAATTCTGGTTAGACGGAATAGCTGCTCTATTTCTGGGTCGGATGAGTATACCGCTAAGGCGGTGTTGTTTCTATGATGTAGGAAATTCAAATTCATATAGGGAATTCTGTAGCACCCGAAGAAGAACCACATTAGGTTCGAAAACGTTTGCAAAGTCCTTCATATTGGAGAAGAAGAACGCCGGTTACAGGCAGTGAAGTTAGGTAATTTATCAACTCCGGTGTTTTAATTTCTATATAGTTTATCCAGCATAGAAATTGTTTAAGTATATTTACCTTGTTAACTCAAATAACATTTATTTTACAATAATTACCATATTTCCTTACATATAAGAGCAGGCTCTTATATCCAAGTCTAAAGGTTCTCTTACAGGTGAGGAAAAATTGTCAATGTAGTCCACAAAGTATCTAAAAAAAGTCACTATTTTTAAAAAAACTTTGATTGCATTAGTAGCATTTTTAATTTTGTCATTGAATAGTTATAGTATCAGTACATGTACTGTACATTTAGTTTACACTGGCACAGAAGTACAGTGCTCTTAAAAACAAAAACAAACAAGTTCATCTCTTATAAGAAAAGCAGGATGTGTGTTTAAAAAATCTGAAAACAAGGAATTTTCACATAAGAGCATGCTCTTGTGCAGAAATATGGTAATTTGGATTAGCAAGAGTGCACTGTGTGTTATTTATATATATTAATTTTATTATTTGTACTTATAACTTCTTAAGTTTTTGTATATGAATTTTAAAATTCTTTTTAATCCTAACAATCTTAATTTGTATATTGAATTTGTTCATTTTGCTCAATGCTATTTGACATTCAAATATTTATAAGCTGAAGATATATTAAATAATGTTTTTGATCTAAGTAAATATTCTTTACTTACTAGAATTAAGCAGTACAGTATTTATTTATCTTTCATCCTAATATACAGACTTGTTATTAAACACAGAGTTATAAAATGTGCAGACTTTTAACATAATAAAATTCTTTCTGAACCACAAAAATATTGCTGCAAGGAGATATTTATTTTCATTTAGTTAGAATGTTACCAAATAAAGTAATTTAAAGATGATTTTATTTTTGTTTTAATATTTATCTTTAAGGAATTCTAGCCTATAAATTCTTAAAGAAAAAATAAGTATGGAAAGGATTTCTGTCAAAATATCAATTTTCCAAGGAATTTTCAGGAAACTAATTATTGAAAAATAATGTTTTCCCAGCATTTATGTATATAGATATCTCTTGTAGAACATGACATTTTTACAATAATGATTTTGCTCTAATACTGTTTGAGAATTGGAGACATCCTTGTATAAAATGTCACAATTTTTAAGTGCAAACACATTCTATATTTTTTTTATTCAAGCAAACAAGCATGTTTTCTTATATTTGTGCACAGATTTTAGAACATTGAAATTTTCAGTGTTGTTTTATGCCTTTTCCTCAGTTTTCTTTAATGAGCACTGATTATACAATTTTTAAAACTTGATTATTGTTGAAAATTGTTAATTGATTATACACTTTTTCTTCTTCCTTTTTCTAGCTTCCTGTAGTAGCTTTCCTATAAATCAGGTGTTGATGATAGTGCTCTAAATGAATCGGAAAGACTGTTGCTGTGTTTTGTTTTTTATAGATTAAAAGTTATTGTATAAAAAGATTACATTTTTAAAGATCTCATAGGCAAGCAAATGAAAATATCAGATTTTATGAAAAAAAGTAGAGAAAAATCTAGATGTTGCCTATATTTCAGATTAAGATGAACAGGAAAGCTCAGATTATGGCAATATTTTACCAGAAAGAAAATGTCCTTGTTTAACAGTATTTAGAAATGAAGAAAAAAATTAATATTGACATGCAATGCTTTTGATTGTGATTGTTTGTTAGTTAATTATTGATTGCTTTAATAAACGTATTTCTTTTAATTATGAAAAAGAATAGTACACTTTACATTCCTGCCTTTTATGTGTGCTGTTAAAAGCTCCTT